CTGGCAGAGACCCAAGGACTGGAGCCACCACCTGCTGCCTCCCAGGGATCTGCATGAGCAGGAAGCTAGACTGGCAGCTGAGGAGCCAGGACGCAAACCAGGTGGGCTCCAAGCATACAGAATACGGGCTCCAAGCATACCTTAACTGCCACTCCAAACAATGAGGTACTCAACCAATTATTTCTTAAGACTTACTTACTAGCATTTTCATCATTTTATATTATTTACATTCTAATATTTGCACTTTGTCTAGAGGCTTTTCAATATACAGCACTTGGGAATGGCTAAGAAGAGACAGACCATAACAAGGGATGACAAGGAGGCATATCAACCAGAACTTTCCCATACTGCTACCTGATAGTACAAACTAACGTAACTGCTGTGGGACACTGCTTCGCAGCATCTATTAAAACCCATTATATTCTCATTCATGTGGCTCCTGACTCAGAAATTTCACTCCCAGGAAAATAACTCACCAGAAATGTGTACATATGTTTGCTAGAAGGATATGCAAAATATTACTCATATTAGCACTATTTTAATATTTATTATTACTGTTTTTTTTCAAAATCAGAAAAGGAGTCTAACTATATTTTGTATTATTCATATTATCTCTCAAAATTCTCTGCAGTTCAGAGGAATGATCATTACTTTTACCTTGGTTTGCCTAAAATCAAAATTTGAAATCAGGACCTAATCCTGGATAGGATAAGAAAAGAGTAAGATAATTTTTATGACATATAACTGTATTTAGATTTTGGAAGAAGAAAACGGTGTAGCTGATTCAAATCTAGACTAGTAAGAACCAGATATTTCCTTCAAAAAGGTATATTTCTAAGGCTTTACACTAAATACTACATGATTCTTTTATTGCAAAGTCAGATATGCAGAGGAGAGACAGAGAGGAAGAGCCTCTGTCTGTTGATTCACTCCCCAAGTGGCTGCAACGGCCAGAGCTGCGTTGATCTGAAGCCAGGAGCCTCCTCCAGGTCCCCCATGCAGGTGAAGGGTCCCAAGGGTTTGGGCTATCCTGGACTGCTTTTCCAGGCCACAAGCAGGGAGCTGGATGGGAGGCAGGACCACCGGGATTAGAAATGGCACCCATATGGGATCCCGGCACATTCAATGGGAGGACTCTAGCCACTAGGCTACCGTGCCAGGCCCAACATTACATGTTTTTAAAGGTTCTTCAATGACAAGGTGCCTAAACCTGAACTAGCACTGCAACTCTCTCTTAGTTGGTCTCCAGTTTCTAAATGTCCATATCATGCACACTTCAAGGCCCTGTCATTACCCCAGAGCACACTGCCAGGATTCAGGCTAAGAATTCCCATTATACTATTCAAACTAAGGTATTAGTGCCAGATCTTCATACTGTAAGTTAAAATATCTGTATTTTTGAAAAACTTGTTTTTATAATAAAGATTTACTTATTTTTATTTGAAGGGCAGATTTTGCAGAGAGAGAATGAGAGATGCAGAAGGCCTTTCTCCCGTGGACTATCTCTCCAAACAGCTACCCAGCGTCAAGTTGAGCTTGAGCAGGAGTTTCCTCCAGGTTTCCTACGTGGGTACAGAGGGCCCAAAGACTTGGACCATCCGCCGCTGCTTTCCTAGGTTATAAGCAGAGAGCTGGGTGGGAAGTGCAGCAGCCTGGACATGAATCAGCACCCATGAGGGAAGCCAGTGCCACAGGGTAGCCTGCTGTACCACCACAGTAGTCTCTAGGGTTAGATTATAAATCTATAGTCCATTGGTTTATATTATAAACCTAACCTAGCAGACTCAGAAAGACACTTTAGGAAAAACTACTCCAGATGTCAATGACACACTGCCCAGCATTCACCTTATGGCTTTATCATTCAGTCTATTCAAACATCTCCATACTATCTAGAAAATTACAACGATACTATCAAATACAGAGTGTTGTACTTCATTTTTAAATGAATCATAAAGTGAAACTGTTCCAGTTAAACAGAATTTGTGTCAGTTTCAGTGAAGCCACTGATGCTCTGGCATTACAACAAGCTAAGCCGGCAGACATTTTTAAAGTTTTCCATTAAAAATGGCTATATTTTTAAAGTCCTGGTGATTAAAAAGCAATCACCAATTACCTGGAAAATTCAGTATGTAAGTATGAGATATGTCATGTTCCAATGATATTCAGTGGAATTTTTCTATGTATTGAGTTATAAAAATGATCATTGGTGCAACAGACTAAGTCTCCACCTGTGGGAATCCATATCCCATATGGGTGCTGGTATGAATTTCAGCTGCTCCCCTTCCAATCCAACTCCTTACTTATGGCCTTGGAAAGCAGTGGAGGTGGTGCGAGTTCTTGGGCCCTGCATCAGTGTGGGAGTCCTGGAGGAGGCTCCTGGCTCCTGACTTCCAACAGGCTTAGCTCTGGCCTTTAGGGTCACTGAGGAGTGAACCAGCAGACAGAAGATCTTTTTCACTATCTCTCCTTCTCTCTATAAATCTGCCTTTCAAATAAAAATAAAATTTTTTTTAAATAGTACTGAATACTATATATTATATTTTTAAAACTTTCAAAATTTAGGGCTTGTGCAATGATGCAGCAAGCTAACCGTTTGCCTGCAGTGTCGGCATCCCATATGGGCACCAGTTTGTGTCCTGGCTGCTCCACCTCCCATCTAGCTCCATGCTGTGGCCTGGGAAAGCAGTAGAGGATGGCCCAAAGCCTTGGGACCCTGCACCTGCATGAAACACCTGGAAGAAGCTCCTGACTCCCAGCTTCAGATGAGCCCAACTCTGGTTATTGTGGCCATCTGGGGAGTGATCAAGAAGACTGAAGATCTCTCTCTGTGTAACTCTGACTTAAGTAAAGTAAATAAACCTTCAGAAAAAAAAAAGAGTTTCACATATGCATCTAAAACCCTCTTATAATATTTAACTAAACACACACTCTTTATAAAAAAAAACAGACACATATATCACAGTCCTTCATCATTCAGTGACATAATTTCAGAATTGAGGGTAGAGGGCAACAGGTTCTACTTGAAGAACAACGTACACCCACAAATCATGTTCACATAGCACATTGAAATTGATTCTTATAAGGCCGTACCAGCACTGCTAATCTTCCACATTGTCTACTAGGGTAGTAGGCCTTAAGATATTGTTGAGATAACTGGCTTCCATTAGCAAGTGTGTGATTGGCAGGAAGATAGTTTTTTCACTCACAAGTCAGCTATTTTTTTTTCTTTGGAAGGCAATCCTGACGATCCATCTTTTAGCTGCAGTCTCTTACTGAGTCCCAATTCTCTGGCCTTCAGCTTTGATAGAGTTCTAACTTTCCTCTGTATCAGCTCACACTTGTCATCAACTTCTCGATTCAGTACAGCAAATATCAGGAGTTTGACCTCAGGGCAAAGTCCGGGTGGGCAGGTAAAATCTGACCACTAGACCTACTTCCTAATCTTTCATACCTAGCAATTCATGAAGAAGTATCAAATTCAAACTAAAAAACAGAAGCATGACCCCTTGTAAGTACTATGAAAAGGGCTCTTTTGCCTTCTTAAGTATACTTGAAAAGAACTGTCAGCCCCCCTATTAAGACAGAAATGGATCACAGACTAGGAAAGCAAAAAAAAAAGACAAAGAAACTCAGCTACAATGTAAATAAAAGTGTTAGTACTCCCTTTATATTTAGCAATATACTACTTCATAAAACAGTATAAAATAATACACTATTAAATATCTTTATGATGTCAGGAACATAAAAGCAATATCAAAAGTTTAAGCCATCTTATTTAAATAATCATAAACATCTGACACAAAAGCTCTGTATCACCTCATGTGAGACTACTATTTCCAAGCTCAGATTTATTCTTGGCATTTCACTACTTAACTGTTTGTTAAAAAAACAAACTCAGGCAGAAAACAGCTACTCATCTCAATTTATTAAATCTAAACTACCGAAATCATAACATTCAAGCCATGTTATCACAGTCTGGCAGCTAAAGGACCAGCTGTATCTTCTGATTTCAGAATGCAAAAGTACAAGAATATGATTAAATGTTATATTTAGTAATCAGGGGAAATTTTTTAAATCTCCACTTACTTCAAAAACAGAGATAGACAGACATATATTTCATTTGCTGGTTCACTCCCTAAATGCTGTCCCTCAAGAGCTGGGGTCGGGCAGACACAGCTAGCAGCCAGGCATTCCATCCCAGTCCCCCGCACAGACAGCAGGGACGCACAGGCATGGGCCATCACCAGCCGCCACCCGGGAGGCTGTGATGAGAAGCAGAGCCAGCCTGTGAATGCAGGTCCTCCCACACCGCTTGCAGTGGCAGCTTAACCATTTCGCCAAATCCCCGTGTTGACTTGAGTATCAATACCACCAATTTTCATATATGACCATGAAATTATTAAGAAGCAATTTCAAGTGACATTAAAAAAGTAGTTACTATTTAGCTACATAATGACCAAATTCAATATTCACTGATGAACATGTTCCATGAAGCTGTGACACTGAACACATAGAGGTTCAGACAGACGTGCAGGTAACAGTCATGAAGAAAGCAGTTTTCTAGAGCGGCTGCTGTGGTGCAGCAAGTTAAGCCACTGCTTGAGATGTCTGCAGCCCATACCAGAGTGCCTGGGATCACGTCCTGCTAACGCTTCTGACGTGGCTTCCTGCGCATGTGCACCCTGGGAGGCAGCAGAGGCTAGCCTAGTGGATTGCTGTCACTCAGGGGGCCTGTCCTGAGCGCTCAGCTCTGACCTCACCCAGGCCGGCCCAGGCTACTGCAGCGATTTAGGAGAGTAACCCAGCAGATAGACAACTTCTTTCTTTCTCTCCCTCAGTCACTCTGACTTTCAAATAATAAACAAACAGTAAACAAACCTTACAAAGCAAAGCATCCTTTTAAAGATCGGTCCAAGTCAAACAAATATGTCAGAATCTTTTTTTTTGTTTTACACAACAGGTGGCAAGTAATAAATGAGAAATATATTATTACATCTTACTTGTCTGAGGTCAATGAATGCTAGCTGTAGTGTGTCCCCCTGGAATCCTGGCACAGGTTCAGAACTGGCAAACACTATTAAAAAAAAAAGAATAAAAACAAAATTGCAAAATATACAAGAGTTCAACTGCAAAATTATTTTACTTCTTACAAATGTATTATTCTACTTCTGTGTAATCATTTCAAATGAAGAGCATTTATAACCTTCAGTTGTCACTACTGAGAACGGTCCCCATACCCACCACCACAAATATTTTAATAATTTTAAACTTCCAGTTTGTCATGTAATCACTGTAATCCTTACCCATAATAAATTTACAGGTTGCCCTCTGTAAATTCAATCATAGTAATCTACTTCAGTCAAGTAAAGTTTTCTGACTCTTTTTAGCCTTAGGTGAACAATTAGAAGCATTTTGAAACTATGGCCATGGCCATCAACAGATCGCAAAACATGTGCTTTATAACACAATACGCTCTGTAAACTCCCACCCCAGCTACAATCAATAGAACACAGAGCCGAGGCATGACGTCAGCTCCACATGCAGACGACGGGCTAAAGGTTCTGGTCAGCAAATTCAGCCTGAGAGAACGGTATCTGTTCATGAATTCTAATAACAATCTAAAAGTATCTTAACACAAAATGTTTTATTTCAAAATATTTTTCAATAATTTTTTACACTTTAAAAATTTGAATGCAAATAACAGCTTGTTTAAACTAAAGACAATTACAATATTAGTTATCCCAAAGACATTTTGGGTGCATAAAAGAGACCCTATCTTCTGATTGAGAATGTTGCAATCCTTTCCCTCTCAAATATTACTTTAATGTTTTTAAAGAAAATTGTAGATTTTCCATTTCTGAATTTAACTGACCTGTATTTTAGAAGCCATTTAAAACCTCAGTCTATATAGTTCTGGAAAACCAAAAATGGTTAAGTCAGTGTATTTTGTGTGAAATACAGTTCATAAAATCTCAATATCAACAATAAAAAATAAAAACATAAAAGCAGCACAGTTTAATCTATATGGTTTCTTTGGGGAATGGGACATTCAAAATAAGCTTTTGTTGTACTGTTGTTTTTGTTCAAAGATTTATCTATTTTTATTGGAAAGTCAAATTTAGAGAGGAGGAGAGACAAAGAGCAAGATCTTCCATCCGATGATTCACTCTCCAACTGGCTGCATCAATTGGAGCTGAGCTGATATGGAGCCAGGAGCCAAGAGCCGGGTCTCCCACGTGGGTGCAAGGTCCCAAGGCTTTGGGCTGTCCTCTACTGCTTTTCCAGGTCACAAGCAGGGCAGGGAGCTGGATGGGAAGCAGGATTAGAACTGGCATCCATATGGGATCCCAGCACGTGCAAGGTGAGGACTTTAGTCACTAGGTTACTGCGCAAGGGTACAAGTTGTTTTTAAGATAATCATAATTTTTGATTGATGCATCAAAGAAATTTTAACCATAAACATTTTTATGGAATTTAAAAATATTCAGCCTTCCTTGTCTTTTTTAGTATATTATATATTGTTTCATTTTTTCATTAACTCTGGATCACCATGAAGAACACTTTTTGTTCCACATAATAAAGTTGCCAGTGGATGTTATGGTATTAAGAACTCTGTTCTCACACTGTTTTAAAAAAGAGATTTACCTGTTTTTATTTGAAGGTCAGTGTTATAGAGAGACACCCACCTACTGCTGCTTCACTATCCAGATGACCACAACAGGTGCCTGGCCTGTCAAAGCCAGGGGTTTCATCTGGGTCTCCAACAGGGATGACAGGATTCCCAGTATTTCAGCTAGTATCCACTGCTTTTCCCAGGCCATTAGCAGAGAGCTGGATGGGAAATGGAGCAGCCAGGACTGGAAGTGGTGCCCATATGGGATGCTGGCATTGCAGTTAGCAGCTTTATCCTCTGTGCCACAACAGTGATCCCTCTCCCAACCCCTCACTATGTTATGTTAAAAAGCTCAGAATACTGTGCTATTTGAGTTCTGGTATTTACATTTTCTAATTTTTCTGCCTTAAAGTTTTAATAAATTCTTACTCCTTGCTCTTTCATCTTATTATCTTTAATTTTCTTGAGCAAAAATATCTTGAACAAGGGGGGATCTTACACTTAGAGTTAATAGTTTTTATATAGCTTTTTGGGTTTTACATTTTCTATTTCTTTTACTTCATTTGAAAGGTAGAAGCACAAACAGGATGAGATCTTTCATCTACTGGTTCACTTCCCAAACGCTTCCAGAAGCTACAAGTGGGCTACACCGAAAGCAGCAGTGTGGAACTCCTCCAGGTCCTGCACTTGGGTGGCAGGGATGCAGCCATCTGACCCATTATCTGCTGCCTTAGCAGGCGTGCTGCAGCAGGATGCTGCATCAGAAGAGGGGAGCTGGAACTCAAGCCAGGCTCTCTGACCTGGGAAGCAGACATCCACTGGACACAAAAAGTACCCCAGACACAAGCAGTTACAGTTACTTCGCCTCCCCAGGCTTTTCTTCATCGAAAATAACATATCATTTTTCTTCTTCCTCAGTTTCTGTTTAAGACCTATAGTTAACTGCATATATTTTTTTAAGATTTATTTATTTATTGGAAAGTCAGATATACAGAGAGGAGGAGAGACAGAGGAAGATCTTCCGTCCGATGATTCACTCCCCAAGTGAGCGCAACGGGCCGATACTATGCCGATCCGAAGCCAGGATCCAGGAACTTCTTCCAGGTCTCCCACATGAGTGCAGGGTCCCATGGCTTTGGGCCATCCTCAACTGCCTTCCCAGGCCACAAGCAGGGAGCTGGATGGGAAGTGGAGCTGCCGGGATTAGAACCGGCGCCCATATGGGATCCCAGGGTGTTCAAGGCCACTAGGCCACACCACTGGGCCCTAACTGCATATTTTTTATAAAAAATAAAAAAATAATCAAAGAGCTTACTGTCAAAATCATAGCAGTAATATAAATTCATATGGCACTTTATAGTTTACCAGAGCAATTTTTCACACACCATTTGCTTTGATCATCACAATAACTGATTTTTATCTAAATGATGGAACATAAAAGCTTCTACCTAGACCTGGTGCAACGGCTGAATAGTCTAAATTCTCACCTCTTAGGTGCTGAGATCTCATGTGAGTGCTGGTTTGTGTCCCGGCTGATCCACTTCCCATCCGGCTCCCTGCTTGTGGCCTGGTGAAGCAGTAGAGGATGGCCCAAGGCCTTGTAACCACGTATCCACACAGGATACCTGGATGAAACCTCTACTCTCATCTCTTAGTACTTCCCAGAGACATCTTCAACTCCTTCCATACCAAACTACCTACCTGTACACTTCCTTGTATATAACAGTCTCTTTCCACAGTGCCTTTCCCCCTTCTGCCTGAAGCATCCCTCCTCTTCTTCCTGGGTCATTTTGATTTATTCTTCAATTCAACTCTCTGTGGGAAAGCTCCCATTATCTGTGTATGTTTAGAATAGGTCCTTCTCCTGTTCTCTCACTGCAATGTCCTAGGTGTAGTCTAACCATAGCATTCATTTAATATCTTGTGAGTATCAACCTGTCTGGGTCTTCCCACCAGCCTATGAACTCCATGAGAATAGTAATAACACTTTGATTTTTATATCCCTATCACTTAAAACAATGCCTGACACATAACTTAAGAAACAATAAATTTGAGGGGCAGTGTTTTGGTAGAACACGTAAAGCAACTACCTGCAAAAACTGGCACCCCATGTGGCACTGGTTTGGGTCCTGGCTGCTGCTCCTCCCACTGAGCTCCCTGCTAATGGCCAGGGAAAAGCAGCAGAGGATGGCCAAATGCTTGGGTCTGCCCATGCATGTGGGAGACCCAAAAGTTTCCAGCTCCTGGCTTTAGCCTGGTCCAGCCCCAGTTGTTGCAGGCACCTAAGGAGTAAACCAATGGATAGAAGATCTGTCTCCCTCTGTCTCTGCAGTTCTTTTAAAATATATATATATAAGACACATATTAAATATATATTATATATTTATTATCTATTATATTAAATATATATATTAAAAATACTTGAAGGGGATGCAATTCAGTCTTAATAACCAATATATTATTTAGCTCGTTTATTAGTCCTAGGACAATACAGTCCAATAGCATGTCCTACAATAATGGAAATCTTTGATATCCATGCTGAATAAAATTTTTAATTTTAATTTTATCAGATATTGGGCAATGCAAATTTAAAACATTCCATGCATATTTTGCACATTTCAAAGTAATTCAGGGCAGGTGAAATTATTCCTAATGCTATCTTCAAAATACTAAATTGTTCATTCTCCCACTAAACAAGAAACTCCTGGGATATACTCATTGCACCTTTATCGCCTGTGCCTAATAGAAAGGAAATGCTCAATAGATGTATACTATCTACATGAATAAACAGTAATACAAATAATCAAAATCTTAACAATTTACATAAAAGGTTGATCCATTTGAAAGTCAGAGTCACACAGAGAGAAAGATCTTCCATTCACAGTTCACACTTCAGATGGTTGCAATGGCCAGGACTAACAGGAGGAATGAATTTTTTCAGTTACCCCACGTGAGTAGCAGGGACCCAGGCACTTCAGCCACCATTTGTTGCTTTCCCAGGCCATTAGCAGGGAGCTGAATCAGAAGTGGAGGAATCAGGACTAGAACCAGCATTCACATGAGATGCCAGCATGGCAGGCAGGCAGTAGCTTTAGCCACTATGCCACATCATTAGCCCACATAATTCACTCTGATAAGAATGTCTATTGATCTCACACCTGTGTTTTTGAAAGGCAAGGACAGTGAGGGAGATAGAGGTGAGCTACCATGTGCTGGCTCCCTCCCCAAGTGCTTGCTACTACTGACAACACTAGAGCCACAAGGCAGAAACACAATGCAGGTCCACCAGGAGGTTGGTAGGAATCTAACCACATGAGCCATCACTGCCACCTTTCAGGGTCTGCACTAGCAGGAAGCTAAAGGTAAGGACCTGAACTGGGAATGAAACCCAGGCGTTCCAGCCCCAATAATTCTTGAAGTAGATCTGAACCGCTGAAAAGCTGCTAGCTGACTTGTGAACT